TTCTAGATTCATGATTTGTACATTTCACAGTACAATCACTAATGGATGTTTACAGCTGTTTCTTCTCATTTTGAGTTGTGGCCCATTAGCAAATGAAGGTCCTGAAAGCTTTACTCCATCCACATCGTAGTGGTTAATTCTACTTTACGTAGATCAACCCTACTCTTCCCTGTTGTGTTTTGAATGCCTTCTGATCTGATAGGCTCATCTTCTGGCACTATCTGACAATATTTTGCTGTGTTTCATAAGATTTTCAGTTTCTAACCATTTGGAACAGGTCCACCTCTTCTTCCTAGTCTATTGTTGTCAGGAAGCCCCACTGAAAACTGTCCACCATGGGTGACCTTGCTTTAAAATACTGTTAGCATAATTCTAGCATCACAATAGCACCTAAGTCACCACAGTACAACAAATTGACAGGCATGTGGTAGAAAAACCAATTTGGCTCTTACAATTCATTGATGAGAAGATAAGTAATCCAATAAAATCCAGTTAAAATATGAACAGGTTCATTTTAAACATAGGACAATAAACACATAGAAATGTTCTTCTTATTGTTGTTGTTAAGTGCCTTTAAGTTGGTTTTGACCCATAGCAACCCTATATAGGGTTTCCAAGGAATGGCTGGTGAGACTGAACCACCGGCCTTGAGGTTCAAACCAACCTTGCAATCTAGCATATTAACCCGCAGTGCCACACCAGGACTCCCTTTTTATTATTAGTCACAAGAAAAATGCAAAGTAAAACTGAATGAGCTATTACTACATTCACTAGAATGGATTAATTTTTCATGTGGCTGACAATTCCTAGCATTGGTGAAAATATGAAGCAACTGTCATATAGATGAGAATGATGAGAATGTAAAATGGTGCAGCCTCTTTGAAAAACGTTTAGGCATTTACTTACAAAATTAAGCATATACTTTTACCATAAGACCTTATGATTGAATCCTAAATATTACACTCCCATAGAAATGAAAACATATATCCAAATGTTCATAGCAACTTTATTGATTATAGTCAGAACTGGAAGCAATCCAAATGCCTATATGTGAACAACATTGTTGTTGTTTAGTGCTGTCTAGTGGGTTCCGACCAATAGTGAACCTGTGTAGAGTTTTCGAGGTGCTGGTGAATTTGAACCATGAACTTTGTGGTTCAAACTGACCTTGAGGTTAAACAGACCTCTCGGTTGAGTGCTTATCCTATAGCACTACACTAGGATTGTGGCATATCCATAAAATGGATGCTATTCAACAACATGGAGTCCTGGTGTGGTGTTGTAGGATAAAGCACTGGATCACAAAGGTTGGCTTGAACCACAAGGTCGGCGGTTTAAACTCATCAGTTGCTCCTTGGAAAGCTCAGGCAGGGTCTCTATGAGCCAGAGCTGATTCTATGGCACACAACAAAAACAACATTTAACAACGTCAACATGGGTGAATCTTAAAAAAAACATGCTGCTGAGTGAAATAAGTCAGACACACAAGAGGACTTACTTTGGATTCCATGTATATGAAATTTTTAAAAACCCAAACTAATAATATGACAGATGACATGGCCAAGAGACTTAGGTGAACTTATTGAGGTCATGCTATATCTTGATTGTGATTTAGTTAAATTGTTGTTGTTGTCAGGTGCCATCGAGTCCGAACCGA